GGCGGCTTCTTTTTTATTTTGAAATGGACAGCAAGCTAAACTTCAGGGGATTTGAATTTGTCTAACTCCAGACAATACTTCCTTAGTTTTGGATGAAGCGGGGAAGGATTAGAATCTGCATCAGGGCTTTAAATTCCTCCTGTGTTTCATTTTACACTTTTTATTGGTATAGGAAGAAATATGAACTCTCCCCAAGTATATTTGTAGCCATGTATTAAGAGTTAGACCTTTTTAATGCTGCCTGTGCCTTTCTGTCCTGGTAACAACCGCACTCTCTATTTCATGTACAGGCGTCACAGGGACAGGAAGTATGGGAAAATCTCCCTAACAGAAATATTAACCGGACACCCTTCCACCCTTTATCCAAACCTAAAATTGTGAATTGAGTTAGACTTTCCTGAACCTGGAGTTGCAGAGCAAATAATTTGATCATCACAACTGGGTGACTATTGAAGCATGTACAAATAAGGTTGTTAATATTTGTGCAGATACTAGCAGATCTATATGTGGCCATCTGGTGATCAATCCCTGCTATATGGAGAGAAGGGAACCTACATCCTAAGTTTGCAGCACATACATGCATCACAAAATCAGAAAGACCTGTGTCCTGGTGACACAAGGGAGGAGTGCGTGTCATTGGATAGCCTTCCAGGAATATCACACTAGCTAACATTTGTGGCAGCTACAGATTTCCCCAATTTATAACTGGCTACAGAGCAGATATACCCAGCTTCAATACTTCTATAGGCAGCTACAAAACTCTGGTGTGCATCAGTCAACAGTAAATGCATTGGGTATCCCGAGAAGCTACCAAAGCTGGTGATTCTTTAGCCAGCTGCAAAAAGGTCAATCCCGAGGTTGGATTCATACCTTTGCGGCTTTTTTCTGCTCCATTTTCCATCAAATTCTTTAATGCAAGTCAACGCACATTGATGTGCAATGTAAAGTGCCTTGCAATGTGCAACGACATGTGCGTCCAATGATATTAGTGGAAAACGCATCAGGCAAAAGAATTTAACAAAAGGCAAAAGGTGTGACTGAGCTACAAATCACTGGAATTGCTGCAATACTTACCTTTCATTGAGTGTAGTTCATTTATTCCTAAAACAGAAAATGGAGCTGTATTTTGTTTGCCATGGCCCTAAATTCCTTTAGCCTAAATGGAGTCTAGTTCAGTATTATGCCTAATGTACACTGGTGGTTTTGAAAACTCTCCTAGATGCTTTTGGTGTTTTGGCAGAAAAAATGTTTGAAATTTGTAAAGGCGTGTAATGCGTTTAGGTGCGTCAAGCTCTTTGGCATTAATTTCATTAGTCAGAATATTAATTTATTATGGCCTTTTAAATGAACACTGCAGAGCTAAATGCACCGAACATTAATGCGCATTTACAGGAGTCAAGCGGTTTTTCTGCCATTACACTGCTGCTCCTGGGCATGCCGGCAGTGGTTTTTTTTCTTTTTTTCTGCCTCTAAACGCCCCTGTCTCTATCACATAGGCTAACATGAAGAGGCATTTAGAGGCAAAAAAAAAAAAAAAATAAAAAACCCTATATGCCCCTAGGAGCAACATTAAAAAGTCCAGTGAGGCCTAAAACTGCATAAACAAGATTTAGCGCCTTTTCTGTTCTGGTTTTGGCATTTTATACATATAGGTTTGAATGTTATTATGTTTTTAGCATTTTTTTAATTAAGGATTTTACTATCAAATCTACAAAAGAAAAAAAAAAAAATCACAGATGTCAAATGACTAAAGCTGCTCTTAATGGATTTGTTGTCACGGGTAAAGAAAGGAAAGTGTAAATACAAGCTGCGATATTGTTAGCGCAGGAACTGACACTCCTTATTTCATATACCACTAGGTTACACCACGGTGACCTTGTGGTAACTAGCCATGGCTCACTGTGCCGGCTGCATTGATTTTACATTAAAGAACAGCTGCCAGGAACATAAAACTATCCAAAACTAAACTATAATTATTGCAGTAAGAATTACATACTGGAGGAGGGGAGGTGCCACTTGCCTTATAGTCACTTGGGTGCTTAAAAATAAATGTCGCTATTATCTGAGTCAGCTGCTTGAGTTAATTATGTTAATAAAAGTCCATGTATACAGTTCAATGAAGAATACAAGATGGACAAATACTATTCAGAATCTATAAACTGCAACTTATCTGTATTTTATTTTGGTTGCGTTGTCTGGCAGAAAAACTAAAGATTCATATCAGATACTGTAACCCAACTTCTTAGCATACTCAGGACAATGATAGCTAGGTGCCAACACTATCTGATCAACACATTTGGGGCTTATTCACATTTATGTGCTTAAAAACATTGTGCATTTTGCATTTTCTTGTTCAAAGCTGCAGGCATGAACACACATGCAACAAATTTGCCATAAGGAAGTTGAGGATTGTACTACTAAAAGCAATGGAAAAGCAGTCCACGTGTGCTTTAGATGCTTATTAGGGTGCATTAAAGCATGTCTACAGTGCAGAACTGAGGGTTTGGATTCACACCTTTGGAATTGCAATAATGCGCATATTAACCCACATTTAAAAGTACATTACCACAATGCAAGGTAATGTGCTGTATATGTGTGCTCCAGCACATTGCCATTCAATCTTAATGACCCCCAACATTGTGCAATGAGGGACCATTCAAAGTGAATGGGCTACCTTATTGCAATGCATGAAAATGCACTCAAAGGTGTGAATAGGCCCTTATAAAGCGCACTGTGCGAACTGAGCCAAAGCAGGCTTGCTTAAATCAATGATGGTAATTAGAAGAGCAACTGTGAGAGAGAGTCTAATGCCCCGTACACAAAATGAGAATATCGGATGAATGATCGTCTGTTTTTTGCCTGCAGTCTCATATCAAAAGTGAAGAGGTTACTAAAGATACGAAAATTCTCATACGACAGAAAGATGATTCAGAAATGATGTATTGTATATTTGAATGAAAACTGTACTGATTAATTGAAAATTGTATGATATGGTTTTGTGTGAGAAAAATTTTCGTGCTTGTCCCTTCCAATAATTTCGGATGAAAGCTGTGTACTAACGATCAGATTATCATACGAATGCTTCAAAAGCGGTATTTTTCGTACGATTTTCTGATCATGTGTACTTGGCTTTAGGTTCTGTTCACACAGATGCGTTACTGCAAAATGCCCTAACGCACTCTACATGCACTGGTGAACTGCCATTCATGTTGAATGGCACTTTAATGAATATATTTTCTCCTGTTCTATAAAAGTACAGAAGTATCTGTGCAAATTTTATAAAATGCCCCCAAACCCCATCACCCCCCACCTTATGAAGTCTCACATAGTAGGTGCTCTGCCATTCCCTGGCCAGAAAATAAATCTTACAGCACTGGCCTAGACTAAGGGAAGGTTCCAGCTCACTAAATCACACTTCCCAGCAAAAAAACAGAGATTAGAAATTACAGAAATTAAAGCCCCAACTACTCAAACCCAATTTACAACCAATTTACTGAAAAAAACTCCTATCTTAGGGGTTGGAAAATTGCAATACTCCCACCAAATTGTGACATTTAAGCACATAAAATACTGGTTGATAATCAATAGTTTGTATTCCAATATCCAGCTAACCAGAACATTAAAACATTTAGGACTCATTCACCTAGCCTCCGTGAAATCATGCCTACCTCTTTGAAAGAACATTTATCATTTCACAGCAAGACACAAAATTGAAAAAATTTCCTTTATACAATGCGTGTGCAGGTCCTTAAAGTTTATTGTCCTCTTTTCTGTGCCTAAGTGGACTTTCAAGTTTCCAAGGCAGAATGAATCAAAAAATGTAAACAGAATATTTAATGAGTAATATTTTTTAGCGACGATAATGTAAGCAACAGTAGGGCTTATGCACAACGCTGCTTTTCCTTGGTTTGAATTTTGCTCTAGAACCGGAAGAGAGAAGAGAAAACAGCACTCCCATGGAGAAAATTATTGTCTATTTAAAACAGGTCCAGTCCTCTTTAAGGCACATTGGGCCTTGAGTTAAAGTAAGAACCTTGTCTATTGCATTCTCTTAAAATAAGTGTAGGCTTTGCCCACTCAAGGCAAAACAAAAAATTTGCTCTAATGCCAGACTGGCAGCTGCTTATGCTCAACTTCCCTTTGCCCCCACACCCCTCTGTGCACCTGCAGAAGAATTCTCATGTCTTCTCCAGGCCGCAATCAGGAGTGTATACTGGACTGAGGACTTCCTTCGCTGCCCCGTGTGGCAGGCCTAGCCAACCTGAGTGGCAATTACCATGCACTACTGTCATCAGTCGGGAAAAGGAGTTCCTCCTATGCTCTTCTATACCTGGAAGCACTTGGTATGTCACTTTTCTTTGCTGAGTGAACCGATCCGTGAGACAGCAAAGAAAAGTTCAAGCAACTGAGGGGGCTGGGCATTAAAATGACCCTGCAGTTCTGCTCTTCATGGTCAAAGCATGGGTTTGCCTTCAGTATGCCATCTGAGACCAGATCTTCAGTCAACCTTGCCTGTAGTATGAACAGCATTATGTTTAAATGGCAAACATGGGTAGACACACATTGCTCTACCGAGTTCAGCACAACAATGTACATTTAACCATTTCACTTGCATGCTCTAATTAATTTAGAGATACTAACTTACAAAAACTAAAGAAAAATAGGTATGTTATCTAGCAATTAGGTTGAAGGTTACCATGAAGTGGAATGCAGTAACCATAATATAGAAAGCTTTAGACAAAAACTTAGTGCGTTTGCAGCCAAAAATTGCTGACATTATCCTCGATAGAAAATGTGAAATTCAGATCTGCAGCTGCTAAATTATACAAGAGGCAAGGAGAAAATTATGTACATATAGAAATAGGCTACCGTCACAAGCAAAATCATCAACTTAGGTAGATGAAATGAAACCATGTCTGTAAAATCATGCTTTACTCTCGTAGTCATGCATGTCAACTTTGAAACATTGAAAGTAAAAGGGCATTTTTTTTTTCAATAAATTATTCAGGTTCCTTTTTTATTGAAAGCATATCAAAGAGCCCATACTTGCTGCCATTGGAATTGTGTAAAGTTTTATTTACATTGTGATTGGAAGGCTTATTAAAACCAAGCATATTGGTTCCTGGGGAGTGGAGGGATTCTCTTTTTAAAGTCATCTCTGCTGCTTGTCCCAAAAAAGATTCCGTCCAGCTGGTCTGATCCCGGAAATTATGACCAGCCGCCGAATGAGCCCCTTTTTGCAACATATAATACAATATGGGGTTAGTTTTTGTCAGCCTTGGAGAATCTTTCCCACGATCATTTTTGTCATTGTCTGCAATAACCCATTTGATGGGTCCTTTGTCACTAGGATTTGGGTACATATTTATATGTCCAGGCTCAGTCCGTGGTGAGCTATTTCTGAGAATGTCTGGGGAAGAACGAGGAGCATGACTTAAAGGAGATGGATACTGAAATGCCATTTGACCAAAACTATTTTGTTGAGAAGGCTTTCCCATAAACATATTCAATGACGGAAGAATAAGTTCAGAATTGCCTGCTAAGTTGCTTTGGTTTCCCCTCATCAACTCTTCAACTGCAACATTATTCCTATGTTGAGAATCTCGGACACAGTTTTCTGAAAGCAAAAGCTGTTTCAGCACGTTAAAACCTTTACTCTCTCTTGACCAGCCAACATTTTTATTTTCACTAAAGACATTCTGAATTGTAAGATTTTTATGGTCATGATCCATCAGTGTGCCATTTACTTCCTCCCGAAGGAAAGATGACTCACTTGAACAGGGTGTATAACAAAACTGCTTGTTTCCAGTGTCTGGAGAATTAGGTTTTGCTAGTTTGACATGGCTTTCTGCAGGATTATTCGGATGCATTTTTCTCTTTTTGGGCACTATGCAAGACATCTTTGATTCGGCTTGCTTGCATTCTGGGTGCTGGATATTTAAACCCAGATCACAAGAGTCAAATACGTCATTGGTCTGACGCAATAAGCGACTCAAAAGACCATTTTTTGACACTGAGAAATCATGTGGGGTAGGGTGCAGAGCTTTTATGTCCTCAGGAGGAGGTCTAGGTGCTTTCTGAAGAAATATACCTGTGTTTGGGGTATTTGCATCTCTTGTTTGATGGGAATTTGATTCTTCTTCTGGCTCTGTTTTGATTTTGACAGCTACAATCTGTTCATCTGCCAAGTTTTCAGTCCTATCTGGGATTATTTCATTTTTTACAATGGGTTTCTGCATTGTTTCACTTCTGCATTTGTTAGGTGCAGCTAGAAGTAGCTGAAGTACTGTGCGTCGTTCTAAAAGGTTCTCAATTTCAGATCCAGGAAACCCAGAATCTAATGGAGTAGATGGACTGCTAAATCCCCTACCTTCTTCAAATGGATGTGACTGATTTGTGATTAGAGGACTGCTTATTCTATCAATTAACCCTATAGCATTGGAATTTATTGCACCCATTGGTTTCTGTGGCCTTTGTTCCTCAGGAGTAGTGCTCTGCTTTCCACATTGAGCTAAATTTTGTAGCAGCTTGCTAGCGCTAAAAGCAGCATTGGTTTGTGCATTGTCATTTGGTACTGGGACAGCAGTTTGAAGTGTTTTGCTTCTTGTAAGCTCCATCAAATGCTTTGAAGCTGGATTAACGATTCTTTCTGGCTGAACACTGCTTACATAGGAAGGGAAGTTGGGCTTAACTGGAAATGGCTGATGAGTTAAATTTAAAGGAGAGGCAGATGCTGTGGACCTATGCAAAGATAGTGTGTTTAATGGAGAAGAATTATGAATGCTAGGACTTTCCGAAAGATGGACAGGTGGAGTCAAATTAAACTTCGACAAGTCAGCTGTCTTTTGTTGTGTTCGTGGTTCATCTATTATTTGTGTGTCATCCAATATTGCAGGGCTGTCATCCATTTTATGGCCAAGAAGCAACTGTAATAACGTTACTTTCTGATATGGTTTTAGTGTTGAATCCATGGAGGAGTCTTTGTTTTCCTTACCATTTTCAAGTCCATTAACTTTTGGGTCCCAGGTTTTAAGCAAAGTTTCTGTTAAATTATCTATAGAGGCTGCTGAGTGCAATGATTGAGGCCTATCTGCCCGATTTTTGCAGCAGGACAAATCTATAGGAGCACAGTTAGAATGAGTACTTTCATCATCACTGCTCTCCTCTTCTGTAAAACTAGGATTGTTATCAGAGTAGTCATCTGTAGTTGTTGGTGTAGCACTTTCTTCAAAAAGAGAATATTTTTCACTATGTATGTGGCTTTTTCCAACACTTGAACCATTGTGGCTTTTGAGCAGATGCAAAAGCAAACTGTTGTTGGGTGAAGGCTTTGGATGGTTTTTATCTATATGATGCTTATAACCAACTGATTTGAGGGGAGAACTTGGAACTCCAAGCTGACCTGGAAAAGGAGACATATTGCCTGGATCACTTAGACCATTAGTTATTGTCCGAGTTTGACTGTTCAGGCTATTTGCAACATTTGCTGTCAACTGGAACCGGTTAAGATCTTTTTCAGAGGTCTCCTTCAGTCTTGCCATGGCAGCCAGTCTTTCACTGGCTAACTGACTTGCACTCTGTGCTTTTAAGGCATGTTCCCTAGAGTACTGCTGCAGGTGTGCTTCACTAGAGAGCAGCAGAGCTAACTGACTGCAGGCAACGCTCGGTTTAGGTGAAACAGTAGGACTTGACCTTTTCTCCACCATGTTTGCAACAGCTTGAAGTCTTGCAGCACACGAAATTTGCTCACTTGTGCTTTTGGCAGCACTCTGGACAGAATGAGGAGGTTCAATGTGCTTCTCTGGTAGAGCATTTTTACCTAAAACAGTCAGATTGTTCTCAACTATTTTATCTTTTGATCTGGTTTTGTTTAATAGTGACCTTAGATGATTGGAGGCCATACCATAACACTGGTCATCTTTTTCTTCATGAACAGTATCTTGGTTGATGGAAAATCCTTGGTCTTTCAGACTCTGTTTTATCTGTTGAGACAGAGCAACACTCTGCAGCCTGGAACTAAATGACTGAAGTAAAGAGGCAAGCAAAGTGCTATCCTGCTTTCCTTTGGGAACATTCTCCCCTACTCCAGTTAAAAGAGACTCGTCCTTGCCATTCACAGTGAGCGAATCAGATAAGCGTCTCCTCTTTGCAGCGTTCCAATCTTCTGAAGATTGCAAGAGCCTGGCCTTCTTGAGATGTAGCATGCCAGACCCTTGACCGTCACTGTGAACCGTAGCATTATTCTTACAGTTATTGAAAACACTACCAGAAATGTTAAAGTTGTCTTCAACTTTTACACGGCCAACAGAGTGTTTGTCAACCACCGTCCCAGAACCTCCAGCTGCTTGATGCATTAGTAATCCTTCTAGGTAGGTTAAAACAATAGAATCCTGTTGTTTTTCAGAGCTAAGCTCTTCTCCATGAGTCATGTTCAACAAACGTATACGGAGAAGCTCTGTCTTTATCGACTTTAGGCGAAACAAAAGATTTGGAGCAAATTTTCAAAAGTGGATGCCTGCTATTTTAAAATGGCATTTGATGAGGAATTCCAAACAGATGTCCTCTGAAAAACCATTGCCAAGATATTGAAAGTCCCATCTGAAGTTAATGTTGATACAGCATGTTGAAATGCATCTATTCCTTGAAATATCTTTCACATATACAGGTTGTCACAGATTTTCCACTGAAACGGCACTTCCATCCTTCTCCAAGAATTTACCTGTGAAACAAAAAACAAAAGACAACCATAAGAACGATTGTTATTATTAGCCAACATCATTCACATTTAAGGTAATGTTACACAGATAAGACCATTATTATTATTATTATACAGTATTTATAAATTATAGACATTAAAGTTATTTTCTAGTTTAAAACAAGGGTCACACTAAGATAGAGTACTAGAGTATTTTAATTCCTATAAGTTAGGATTCTCCTACTGTGTATTAAGGTGCTTATAATCTATTCAGTCAGAGTAGGAAATGGTTAAAACCCTTGTTGATTTTTTTTCTTCTTGCCATTTGTTTCTTGTTCAAGAGATTCACTTCTTCTCCTGTAGATACAACATGAAATGAGAGGAAATATTTCCAGAGCACAGTAATTTCTTTTAGACAATTGTCACCAGAACAAGTGTTTCCATTGAAAGATTTCCCCTATTTCTGTTCTGGTAAAAAAATCAACATTTTGGGTTTCCAACCATTTTCAGCCCCAGTGATAATAGCCATCAGGAAGAGAGGGTATTGGTGGCACAAGCAACAAAAAAAACTTGATATTGTTCCCCACTCTATCCAAAATTGCAAAAAAAAATGTTTTTTTCTCTTTAAATACATTACTGCAACCACTTTAGGATTGCTCGCCCGCATTATTCTGCAGATGGGTGGCTCCTACAGGCACAGCGACATACCTGTATGTCACTCTCTTTCCGGGTTCAGGGTGTGCTCACCCTGTGATTCATGGCTGAGACCTGATGATCAGCTATGTCCAATCACAGCCCAGAACCCTGTGTTGGCAAACAACATGGGGCACTGTCCAGAGGAAACTATCTCTTTGTTTCTTCAGGAACAAATAGATTTTTAGTAAAAAGCAGCACATTAACACTTATGAGGCGCACATTTAACCCCTTGATTGCCTCGAGATGTTAACCCCTTCCCAGCCAGTGCCATTAGTACAGTGAGAGTGTATAGTATTATCAATAACTATTGTATTAGTGTCACTGGTGATGTCAGTGTCAGTCAGCCCCCAACCAGTGTCAGTTAGTGTTAGACTGCCCATTGCATTATCACAGCCCCACTATAAGTTGCTGATCACCGCCATTAATAGTATTAAAAAACAAAACAAAAAAACAATTCCAGTATTATTATTATACAGTATTTATATAGCGCCAACGGTTTGCTCAGCGCTGTACAGTGTGTGTGTGTGTATATATATATATATATATATATATATACACACACACACAAATACATACACACACGATAGTTTGTAGACGCTATAACTTTCACACAAACCAATCAATATACATTTATTGGGTTTCTTTTTGTTTACCAAAGACATGTAGCAGAATACATTTCATTTAAGAAGAAATTTGATTTTTTTCCGGATATGTTTTATAGCAGACAGTAAAAAAAAAGTTTTTTTTTAATTACCAGCCTTTTTTATAATAAAAAACCCAGTGGTAATCAAATACCACCAAAAGAAAGTTTTTTTTGTATGAAAGAAATTATATAAATTTAATTTGGGTACAATGTTGCATGGCCACAAAACATTCAGTTAAAGTAGCGCAGTGCTGAATGGCAAAAAATGGCTTGTCATGAAGGGGAAAAACCTTCCAGAGCTCAAGTAGACAATAAAGCCATCTACAAATAATCGATTTTTGTTGTTTCCAGTTAAGGCTACTGTTAATGTTCAAGCACACAAAGACAATATAGACACAGCTGTGCATTTCCAACCTTGAGGCAACCAGTTTGGGGAAGGCCCTTTTCTGTTCCAGCATGACTATGCACAAAGTCAGGTATATAAAATCATGCTTTGATGTGTCTGGTCTGGAGGAACTTTGGGCCTTCTCATCCAACATCAGTGCTCAACCTCACAAATGCACAAATTCTCACAGACAAACTCCATAATTGTGATGGGGCAACTCCATATTACTGCTTATGTTTTTGGAATTGGATGTTTGTCTGGCCATATGGTGTGGATACATAGCATAAAAGATGATGCCTACGCCTTTCACAGTCTGCATTTCTGCAGATTTTCTTCAACTGCTCTGCTGACACTAACCCTGGCCGCTTTGCTTTTCCTGTAGTCAGTAAGTGCCTAAACCCAACAAAGCAAGCCTGATTTCAGCTTTCAGTTGTGTGTCTTCCTACATGTATTTTAGGTAATCACACAAGCTATTTGATTTCATGACTTCTGAAAAAAACCACATTAGTGAACTAAAAGGTCTTCTGAGATATATGCTTGGACCATTCCTTTAAGGTCAACAAAAAGACCCTTTATACTATTTCAGAGTGATTTTTTTCTTTTTTTTTATTGGCTGCTCAACAGCTCGAGATTCATGACAGAAACTCAAACATGGGAAAGTCAACTTGTACCACTCTTAAAATAGATTTTTAATACAGGGTAAGTCCACAATTGCAATGTCAAGGTCATAGAGTAGAATGTAAGATTACAGACAGGACTGATGTAACAGCTGGCATTTGATCCAAGCTCGTGGGGTTTAGACTACACTTACCATACACGCTTAATTTACACATACTGTACATTGTGTCACAAGCATTTATCACGCTTAGGAACAAACAAGTATTTGGCCCTGTGTGATATCCAGTGGGAAAATGTTTAGATAGCCTTACTGATACTGCTTACAGCACGCTAAGTTTGCAAGTAAACAATTTTCTGTTTTTTATTTGCAATGTTTCAGGCTCTTCTTTTATGAAAACCTGTTATACAGAAATTTCAGATTAAATACATATGGGCACAGGGCACCACGGCGAATAATAAAATTACATTATTTTTTATTTAGTCAAATATGCCAGCTGTAGCTCAAATTAAAACATTGTGAAATAGTGCAAAAAAAAAAAATAAATCTGCTACAGTCCATTCACCTTACAGAGCCCAAAGTGATAGTGCAGTCATTGTTGGACTGTATGAGAGCTTACACAGGGCTAAAGACCTTACACCTCCAACCCCACGTGACCCTGCCCATACCTAGCTACTGGCTGCTCTGGTACTAAGCACTGCAAAGGATTCGAGGGTCACATGCTGCCGCACACCTGGAAGTAGAAGGTATTTTGATGGGCTCCAGCAGGCAAAGGGATGGAGCTGAAGGTAACTGAAGCAGGAAATAATAATCTATACAACTACACACCCTTCCAAATTAATATATAGCACTTTTAATCCACACAGATTGGCACAAAAGGCAAGATTTTGAGGGGATGGCTACTCATAGGTGAAGCCTTGAATAAATGGAACTGGACTTGCCCAAGAAAGTATGGTTAAACTGATGACTAGCCCTAAACAGCTTCCAAATTTTGATTTAAATGTTAGGACAACACAAGAACCTGGAGTTATTAAAGGACACTTGTGATAAGAAGTATGGAGGCTTCCATTGCTGACCAATCTTCCTCATAACGTTCGGTCCTTGGTTATCATGCTTATCCAGTCGGCTCAATATTTTGAATCTTGCCTCAAAACAAATTTGCAAATAAGAAGTTCTGACTTTCCTCTGACTTGATCTGCATACTTGTTGAGGGTCACTGTCTCACAAAGTGTTCAAGCTGGAGACAGCCAATTAACAGCAATGGCAGTCCATGTATTTGTCTTGCTATGAATCTTACTTTAAAGTGTAACTCTTTGAGCACGTAACCAGTAGACCAGAGGAGGGTGAGGGTAGTGTGTAAACTAGATTCAACTTTCATAAATGTAACAAATCCTGTGAAATCTTTTGACTCACGCCTGTTTTGGAACTCATTAGCCCAACCTCCCAAGTGTCCTGGATTACCGCTATTTTATTAATTACAGGTACTTATATAGCGCCATCAATTTACGCAGCACTTTACATAGATATTGTACATTCATATCCGCTATATATTTTTACATAGTGATGCAGGGTGGAGAGATGGAGGTATAGACAGCTGGGTCCGAAAAGTACCCTGTGCAGGAGTGGTAGCCTTGGGACTATGATCAATGGTGCAAAAGTGCGTGATTTACAAAATGCACTCAAGTAGATCTTCTCCATTAATTGAGAGTCTGAAGTCTAGTAGACACAATGAGACAATCGGACAAAAAATATACACTGCTTTTAGAGCGATCGTCCAATAATTTGATCGTTATTACACAGCTTTCGAGAGTCGATCACTACAGTTCATGCAAAGTTATCTGAAGGGAAAAGCACAACTTTTTTCTTTTAAGCTAACAGAAAGAACGTTCTTCCATTAATCAGTACAGTATTCGTCTATAAAAAAAAAATCGACTGACCAAGACTGCACATGCTCGAAAACAAAAGAATACATTACCATGCAATATATCACATCCCCGCGGGAGTTGTATTCTGTTTTATGAGAATTTTCTTAACTCTAGTTACCTATTAATTTTCGATATGAGACTATCATGCAAGAAAAAATGGACAATCATTTTGTTTGTGGCCAATCGCTAGGCTTGGGCACTGGCACATGTTGGAGACAGTGACGTCACCTCTCTCTCTAGTCTCTGACAATAATCAATGCAGGGTATTTTGGTGATAATTACTATGGAGGAGGAAGTAGTGGAAATTGCTGAAAAAAGTATCAGTTTGTGATAGCAAGCCTCTTTGACAGACACTGCCATTATGTCCTAAATGGTGAAAGTGACAGTGTCTCTTTAAACATTTAAATATTGAGTAAAAAAAAAATTGAGAATTCTATTAGGCCTTTGGGTGAAAACTCCAACCCCGTGG